TTTTTTTTTTTTTTTTTTTTTTTTTTTTTTTTTTTTTTTAAGGAAATGCTGAGAACATGCATTTAGATAGTATGTTCAGGTAACTTTGTGGATAGTCAGTTTCTGTTAATAAATAATATATAAATTAGTAATTTTATTAACTAAAACTACAATGAAGTCTCATTTAAATACAAAGCATGGAAGTAGGGTTAAATTTTCATGCTCCAAGAAAATATATTTCCCTGCAGATACTATAATTCTATTAAGTAGATGTTTTAATTCTTTGTTCTTAATACAATCTTAGGAAACACTTTCTTAGACTTCTAAAACTTTTGCTGTTCTCACAAGGACAAGCTGGAGAGTGACTAAAAATAGTCAGAGCTTCAAGATAACTGTTCCTTTAAGTAGACTATCTTAAAAGACTTAAGATGGCTTTGGCAATGTCTGTGTCTATTTACTGACTTTATTGTGCTTTAGAAAGCAAATGAATACTGTATTCCAGCACATTTTATTCTCCCTCCCATAAATAAATACATTCAAATAAGCATGCTGAGGCGTGTGCATCATACTGCCCTATTCAGCAGCTTGACAGTTTCTTCTTTTTATGTTCTTGTCAGTTGCTGATTTTTATATCTCATACTAAAACCTAAAATTGTTTTGATTTTTTTTTTTTTTTATAACTTGTCATCTTCAGCAAGCAAAAAGGATTTCAAAGTTAAAGAAAAAAACTGTGGTTGGATTATATATTAACTTTTAAAAAAACCCATGGAATCCATGATTCCATGTAATGAAGCTAGAAATTAATATGGGTATGTTACATAACTAATTGTGTATATTTGATTATATTACCAAAAGATTGGGAGCGCTTAGTTGTTGCTTCAGTTGTGGAAGTGTGAAAGCATACGGTGTTTTAAAGAAGTAGAGCTGAAACTTACTACCTCTGTGTTTCCAGTAGGTTGTTAAAATCTGAAAAGTTGTTATCAGCAGTGTCTCTAAAAGCTCGAACCCAAATTTTAAAGATTATGTATATTAACTTTCAAATATACTATTTTTTACATTTCAAAATGAAACAGCCTTAAAAGGCAAATCTTGATTATTGGGTCTGCAGTGTGAAGATTTTGTTTGATTAAATTTTGATGTAATTATACTGCTTAACTGCTGTTATAAGGTTTGCTTTTTAATTATAAAAATAAAGCACATGAATGAAAAAATAGAAATGTGCTGAAATACATCTTAGAGCTTGTCCTTGTCATTCATCTTTTATAGTCTTGATAAATGCTGATTAACAGTATTCTGAACTTTTCTATGTCCCTTTTTTTCTTTCTGCTATGTTTCCACTACTTTTAGCGCTTCAGCATGGAAGGGATCTCAAATGTCATACAGAATGGCTTCCGCCACACGTTTGGAAACTCAGGTGGAGAGAAACAGGTGCTGGGCTATCTTCTCTCTTTTCCTTACTCTTTGCCTGCACTTTTGGTAGGAGCTGAGATCTTGAAAATTGACAGTGTGTGAAGATAAATGCTGAGACAGGAAAAAATAGCCCAGAAATGTTGGAATTTGTACTCTTTC